TTTTACTTATTAATACCCTATTTTTCTTATACTTAAAAAATATAAATTAACTAAGTATTATATTTAATAATATAAAGAACAGAATTTTTAGTAATAAGTATTTTAAAATAGTTAAATAATAATAAGGGTATATATTTATAAAGCTTATTAATAATATAAAGTCGATTAATTACTTAATAAAAAATAAGCTTAGATAATTATACTAAAGATTCGGGTACTTATCGGTTATAAGGCTATATAACCTCTTAAAATAATTAAGTAATAGTAATATTAAAATAGGGGTACTAGAGTAGTTAATAAAAGTATATTATTAATACTAAATAAATACGTAAAGCTTATATAAATTTAAATTTAAATTACGTAATAAGCTTAATTTTAATTAGGAAATCGTTATTAATATCTTTTATTTAAATAGTTAGCTAGTCTTATATATAATTAACGTAGCTATATCTTTTTAAATAGGGTAATTTTTTTAGGATTTATAAATAAAAATAATATAAATAGCCTTATAAAAGGGATAAATCGATATATATTAAAGACCGCTAAATAGTATTAGAACCGACGTTAATATTAGTTTTAAATTAGTAAAATTTAGAAAAAATATAACGGCTTATAGTATATAGCTAAAAGTTGTATTTATTAAAGCGTATTATAATATTAAAAAGGTAAAAAGGGTATATTAGTAATTAAAAAGGGTATTTAGAATTATTAAAGAGGAAAATCCCGATTTTATTAATAATAAATACCTTTAAATAGTATTTAAATATTATAATAATATTATAGGGCTTAACGGGCTTATATTAACGCTATTAATATTTAGAATATATTTAAAAACGATTTTAGCCTCGCTATTATTACTAAACGTAAGTTAACGAGCCTAAGTAATTAAAAAAGTAATACGGGTATTGCGCAAAGTAAATATAAAAAAGTAAGTTAATAAAGTAATTACTATATATAATAAGCTTAATATAGGGGGTAATTTAAATATATTACTAAATTTAGATATATAAGTATAGTATAAAATTATTTAATAATAAGCTAGGCTATATAAGTTAATTTTTATTAATAAGCGCTCTTATATAGTTATAAGAGATTATAACTAGTTACTTAAAGTATTAATTACGGTAGTTAGACCGTACTATATAAATTTTAATAAAGTAATTTTTAATTTATAAAAAAAAGAAGAGCTAGGGGAAACTATATAACCCATAGTAGAGGTATAAGAAATTATCCTTAACAAAATTATCGTAATAGTATTAATAAATAACGAGGAAGAGGAAATTATTAAAAAAGTATTAATATTACTAATAAAACGTTACGGAAAATTATAATAGTAAGCCTTAATATAGTAATTTATTATTAGTAATAAGGTAATTAATACTTTTTATATAATAAAAAAAAAGCCGATTTTGAGCTAATAGTTAAACTACGTAAAGAAGGCATAATTATAATTATTAAAAAGCCGTATAAAGGATTAGATCTTATTAAAATAAATACTTTTTATAATTAAGGGGTTTATTAATTTATTTTTTATAACTTAGAAAAGTATATAAACTTCTATATATTTAAATTATAAATAGTTCGTAAAATTAAAGGGAAGGGAATACCCTAACTATATAAGAAATCTAAATACGTAATTTAGGGGTACGGTAACGTTAAAAAAGTAACATTACTTATATAATTACTTATTATATAGCGCTATAGTTAATAATTAATAATAGTATTAATAATATTGCTATAGAAAAAGGGATACGAAATTTAGAACTATAATATTACCTAGGCCTATACTTAATTAGCTATAGGGCTTACTAAAAAAATCCTAGCCTATTTACTAAAAAAAATAGCTAGTAAGTACTTAAAAAGCACGATTATTAAAATACTTAAGTTATTATATAAGCTCGTAAAATCGGGTACTTATTAATAAGCTACTTATTACGATTTTTATATTAATTAATTATTAATAATTACCTTTATATACGACCCGTACTTACTAATCTTTAAATATAAAAATAACTAATTTAGGATTATTAAAATATAAATTAACGATATATTAAGCTTATTTAATATTAATTTTATAAAAAAAGAGAATAAAGAGCTTTAAAAAGCGGGCTTTATAATAAAACTAAAAGAGGTCCTTATAATAAACACCCCTTTAGTATTTAATAATAGGATTTTTATAATTAAAAAAGAAACTATTATTTTTTAATAAAAGGGGTAAGGTAAGAAAATTAACTTTATTAATCCGAACGTAATTAATATTAAAAAGTAATATAAAACTAAGTTTACATAAGAAGTATATATTATAAATATTTATTAACCCGAAGTAATTTTTAATTATATTAAAGTAGTATAAGTTATAAATCTAATTAAACGAGACGTTAAAGTACTTAATAAGTAGCTTAAATAGTAATAAATAAATCTTAATCGAGGCCTCGTTTATTACCTAATTAACCTTATAATTAATAAGCTTTATATCTTTATTAATAAGTTATTTATAAATAATAATAACCTTATTTCGTAATTAAGGTATATTATTATCTTAGTTAATAAGAGTATAAATAAGAGCGAATTTATTATATATAGTAATATAATCTACTACTCGTTAATTAAAAATAAGTAAATAACGAGAAATATATTAATATTAGAGGTTTATAATTTTAATAACGCTAAAGAAAATTACTAATTAACTTAGCTTTTTACCTATTTTAATAGTTATTTATACTAATTTTTATTTACTATACGAATACCTTATTAAATTAAAAATAATAAAAAAAAAGAGGTTTATAATCGATATTATAGTCCTTAAGTAATCGTACGAAAAGTATAAAATACTTAAAATCTATTAAATTAATAATAAAAATAACCTCGTAAATACTTTTATAAAAGTAATACTAAATAAGGGATTAGAATAATTTATAAGTAATAAAAAAGTTATTATATAAATAAAAGGATAAGTTATATAAAAAGAATAAAAAAAAGGAGAAAAAAAAAACGACTTAATAAACGGGCCCGAGGTCGAATTATATTTTTAATTATAATAGTTAAATTAATAAAAAAAAAGAAAGTTAGTATTAAATTAGAAATCTAATTTAATTATAATATACGGCCGATTATATAAGGACTAATTAAGGGCCTTATTTATAATTATTATAGCTAGCCTAACTTACGGTTAGAACCTCCTTTTTATACTTATTATATAAATATTTATATAGTTTAATTAATCTCTTTATTAACTTACGGTTCGAACTAACTACTTTATAATAAAGATACTAATAGAAATCTAACGATAATGGCGAGCGGTATGGCGGATCGGGCTTACTACATAACAGGGGTAAACCAAAGCCAGGCTGACAAAAGTGCACTTTCACTCCGGATGGACCTTATTGTATGCAATATTGCTGCTTGATCCATGATTATGCAGCATGTTGCTAGCCGAAATATTGTAACGCGCATGCTCATTTTATTGATTCGACGAATCGCTGTGCACAATTGAGAGTTGGTGTGCCTCGACTAACATAATGAGGCTGTCCGATCCTACGGGACTTATATTAAGCAAGGCTTTTGGTAGCGATCTTTACTAACCTGAGACGTGGGAAAATGTCAAGTTTTGAGGTATCATATCGATTGTCACGTTCAATCCGCGGGGGTATTTCCACTTTTTGCGCGTTGATTCCAGGTGGCCTTGAATCAATGGTTACTGAAGCCGGTAGACCCTGGTTTGTTCAAGGTTTTCGAAGGCATCAGCGTGGATGGTCGAGCTAGCTATTGAACCGACATTCGATTATGACTTTTCAAATCTTTCGGTTGGGAATTGCAGTCAAACCGAAAGAAATGATAGCATTCTAGTCGTTCGTTCACCTGACGATTTCCTGGATTCCTCATTCAGGCGGCCTGGAAACTAAAGAGTCAGTATTTAGTCTGTAGAGGATGAGCTGAACGAAGTGCGCCGATCTTGAGTTCTTTCCAACGGGATCGGAATAGTAAAATTGAGCTGCCAAGTGCTTGTTATCAATATAGGATTGACATGTAATTTTACTAAGAGGAGAGCCGAGACGCTGAAGTAAAGGCTTGGTTGATATCATGAATGTCCGCACGTCGCACTTAGACCTTATTTAATAGACAAAAGGTTTTTACTCAAGATGAGTTTGACTATGACAGGAGGCGAGGCGGCATAAATGCCCTTCCAATCTTTAGGTCGGTTCGAATACATCCTGAATGAGTAGCTAGCAGGTTCTCTGGAGATGATCTAAAGTCGGCACTTCCGGCTTTCTGTAGGGTTCAGCTCCGTGGATTCCGCCGGACAATTATTACCAGAGCCGTGGCACGGGATGTGGGCAGTACACAGGATGAACTCTAACAAATTAGGGAAAACATTGAGCCCGGACTCGTCCACCAGCGGCACTTAGATTGAAACAAGCATTGCCTAGCCGCGGGACGAATTTCTCCCCCATCAAAAATGGAGATCCCGACCCGACTTTTACTGAATACGGCTTGGCCGACTTTTCGGGATTACGCGTGCGCCTGTCAGAACATAGGCGTAGTCGCTCATAGGACGGTAGGACCGACCCCTTGAATTTCGTCAGCTCTGGTATTGAGCCACACTCTGAAACTATTCTTGGCATTTGCAGAGAACGCGAGGCCTTCTTTACCGCTCCAAACGTCAACCCTTTGTCCATAACTCCATGTTGTTTCTCCACCGCCACTGGCTGCTGTTCTCCATACTCCATAGCGGTATTTGCTAACCCCTGGGCATACGTCCCCCATGACAAAAAGCTTGGTATACTTTATCGAGCCGCGCAACGGCCCCCTGATATGGGGCTTAGCATCTTCGTGATGTGGACAGTCTCCCGCCGGCGGGATAGAGGCCTTCGGGAGTCGTCATCTTAGCTGTAAAGGCGTTTCTACAAATTGACGTTTAAATATGCCAAGTACCAGTCTCGTCTGTAGTTGCCTTTCCATGCCTGTTCATCCCATCTGCAGATCTGCCAAAGCCCAACAACATGCGCTCGTTCCAATTACTTTCGTTCGCGGCAGCCGCTGCTCCGGCTCTAGCCGACAGTCATTACTTCTTCTCGGGCTTCTTTTCTGGCAGCACTATTGTCGGTGTCGAATTCGATGACCAGACAGAGTCGCTCACTTTGAAGAACAATATCAGCACAGGCGCGAGCTCGGGCTCCAAGTGGATTCACATCGATGTAAGAATGCCTGAGAATGCGACAACCAGGCCGGATGCTGACGATTTGACGATAGTCCCGCCTGAAGAACCTGTATGTCGGTACGACTGGCTACTTTCAGAGCTATGCCATCACAGACGACCTCAGCTTGACATACAGCAGCAACGTCAGCTTGTCTTCAGACTGTGAGCACCCCCGAAGTGGAATGTCTTGAGATTAGCATGTTGCTTACAGTGAATAGGTAGCAACGCCAACTACATCACGTCTTCCTCTGCCTCTCCCTACACTGTTTTCGGGACTCCCTATGGAGGTGGCTGCTCAAGCCTGGCCATCACCGTCGATGACGCTGGTGTGCTTCAGGAGGCCACTGCGAATGTCACATATGACAGCGCCGGAGGTGTCCACGGAACATGGATGAGCCCTAACAACGATTTCATCTACTCCGCCGATGACATGGGCAACGCCGTCTGGGCACACTCCTATGACAACACCACTGGAGAGGTTACAGAAGTTCAGTACCTTGCCGCAGCCGAGGGATCCAACCCCAGACACTTGACTGTGCACCCCAATGGCAACTGGGTCTATGTCGTCTATGAGGAGGCCAATTCCATCGCGTCTTACAAGCGCGACACGACTACCGGCAAGCTGACTTTCACCAACACCACCTACTCTCTCCTGCCCTCAGGTATGTGCTAAACAAAAAGTCTTGTTGGAGCCAATAAGTAACATTTCTTCAGGATACACCAACACGTCGTCCTACTGGGCCGACGAAGTCATGTTCTCCATTCCCAGCAGCAACGCCAGCGCTACTGCACCCAAGTACCTCATTGCTGCCACCCGCTCCCGCACCGTTGGTGTTCCGGGCTACGTTTCCGCTTTTTCTCTCGACAGCACCACCGGTGCCATTACCGAGCAGCTGTTCCTCACTCCCACCACGAACAGCGGTGGCTCCGCCAATGCCGTCTCCCCCGCCAAGTTCAGCGAGGATTACTTTGCCATTACGGACAGCGGCTCTAACTTCCTGGAAATATGGAAGATCGACGCTACTGGCTCATCCACGACTGCGGCAGCTGTCGCGCACCTGGCATTAACATCTGGACCGGCCAACGTTGTTTGGTACAGCTAAGCGAAAAGACGGTGTTCGTGACAAGCATGCATTCATGTTACAAATTTTTCTTCTGCATGTATAGCCGTGTGTGCTTGAAATGGAAAACGACAGCACTTAGAGTCTTGTAACCCAGATCAATCTACGCTATGAAAAGCCTTAAGCCTTCATGGGATTCTTCCAATTTGCCGTATCTGTTGTCTGTTCTAAATTTCCGCGCGATATGGGTGTCGCCCTGTCGTCACTTGTACCTCGCACTCTTCATGCCTCTCATTGCAAGCACTGAGAAGATCCCTGAACGCTCTGCTGTCGCCCTCCTTTGTTTCTTCGGAGCGGTTCATAGAACACTCGTCGTCTCCAAAGTACATCTCACCAGTCTCACTATCTGAAGTCAACCATGGACTAGGACAGATTCCTGCGTCGAAGTTGATGTACCCACTCGGGTGCAGCACGGTGCCGATCCTGGAAGGATGGAGAAAGTGAAGTCCGTAAGACAGTCCATCAAAGCGAAAGTCCTTGAGGTGGGGAAGGTTGTTCCGGATCTTATCGAAAGTAGACTCCCATGTGCCATCGAACCTGTAGAGCTCACCATCGTCACAAAGGATGCCGTACGAGCCTTTGGGCAGACGCTGCCAATCTTCCTTGTGAAGATCCCACTCCTTGGTTTCCTCGGTGTCAACCTGAATGAGGGAAACAATATGACAGCTGTCCAGACGCAAAGTTTCAAGCGATTTCTGCAAGAGAACCCAGTCAAAATGACGGTTGTTGCTGATGACGAAGTTTCCCAGGTTTAGCGTCTTTAGGCGAGGGAACTCTAGGCCTGCCCCGTCAAAGTATCCCGGCATGGTGCCCCAACACTCGTGGAAGTTCAAGGTCAGGGCAGTAAGATTGGCCGCGAAGTGAGGAAGAAATTGTTGCTGCAGATGGCTCTCGAACTCCAAGCGCTCTTCCATAAACAAGTCGCGGTCTGGGCCGTGTTCATTATACTCCTCTGTGGTCACCAGGTGAAGATGGTCGATGTCCTTGGCGACGTCTTTGAAAAGACTAGAGTTGACGAATTCTTGATGTGGCATGTTTTGGAGGTTTCGAACTGTCAAGGACCGAATTGTGCTGACTTCGGTATTAGGCTGAACTGCACGTTCCCGAATGGCCTCAAAAACTGCCTTGAGTGTGTCTAGCCGGGTCTCGCTAGGCTCAACATCGTTCCATGGTCTATGAAGATTGGACCACCGGTCTTTGCATTTCTCGCTGAAGTGCAGCTCGATGACTCTGATGTTTGGCAACTGTTTGATCCGTTTAATGGCTGATGTGAAAGCATCATACTCTCCATTCTTCCAGTTTTCCCAGTCCCCAAATTGCCTTGATTTCTTGGAGCAGCTCTGGATGATGACTCGTTCAGCAGCATTTCTGGCGGCTTTGATATCGAGAGTCTTGTTCCAGCCTTCAAGCCCACTCTCATCGCTGTTGACGGCTCCAGCGTGTGCTAGCTCCAGGGTTTGATACAGGTATTCAGTCGCAATAGAATTCCATCGTCGGCAAACGAGGCGAACGGGGAGAAGGTGCTTGCGGACTTCACGAATATTCGCGGGGTCCCTGGGACTTTTCAGTCGGAATAGTTGCCCGATGATCATATTGAGGATCTCATTGGGTATGTTCTTAAGTTCCACAGGTGTCGCGAAGGTCAAGATTCGTCGAGGTCGGAAGAGTGTCTAGAGAATTAGTTCTTTGGATGGAAGTAGGACTCCTTACGTTAGTTTTGCCACTCTATCGTTCAAGTGCGGCCGGATCACCCGCCGTCGTAAGACCGCGCGATCGGGGTGAGAGGGTGAGCAGGATTCATGGTATGCTAAGAAGGGCAGATCCTAGGATTCAAGGTAGGAAACAGCTTGCAGTTCCTGGAATCTGAGAGGGAGCTAATAAGGGTCAGTTTACTCATCCTAGGATTCAGGGTGTTACGGAGCTTGATGCTCCTAGGACTGGGGGGGGCGTCAACAGTTCCCAGGAGTAGTTCGGTGTTCCTGGGATTTGGGGACCGCCAACAGGGGCCCGCTTCTAGGATTGAGGGGCGCTGACAGGGCTCGATCCCCTCTGTGCCTAAGCACGCTGCGCCGCATACACTAGTCCTGGATAGCCACTAGACCAATGCCAGGGTCGCTAGGCGTCTGCTATTCCTGGGAACAGTGAGCGGCACCCATGATTCCCAGGAATGATAGGTACCGTTACCACTAATATCCTGGGAATAGTAGCCTACCTACACTCACCCCAGCAAATAAGTTAAACGCGGCCACGTGAAAGCGAGCAGGTAGGTGAGGCGATTGCACAGATTGTGCCACGTTATTACTCAAGTACACGCCAATCACCCGCCGCTCTAAGTTCATACTGTTGAGTTGGGGGTCAAAAATCAGTATATATTGTGATGTATCTGCCAAGTCTGTTTGTTGCCCCAAGGGCGTGTAGGAGTAGGGTTAGCGTTCCTGACCCCCTATGCCGCGCTCGGAATCAACGTTCCATCGAGCGCGCGTTCTATACAGTGGGGTGTCTAAAGTTCGTGTGCAGCGCACAGTATCCCGCAAAAGTACTACTTTTCAACAGCGAATAAAAACTTGAATATAATAAGAAAAAGAAATCGAAAATCACTATATAACTAATTAGCTATTATATTAGTATATATCTAAGTTGTACTGTATTTTCTTCAATTATAAACGCGTTAAATAAATCTTTTATAAAATAAGTTTTAAGAGATTTTTATTATAGTAGATTATAGGGCTTTTTAAGTACAAATAGCACTGTACTTCTTAGTAAATTCATTTTTATCTTAAACTCTAGCTTTATATTATAGTATAAAGTACTAATATAACGTATTTTAAAATATATAAAAAATAGTTTTATATACTTTATATACTGAGGTATTTTATTAAAATTTTAAATTATATTATTTATACCTAAGTTAGAAAGATATTTATAGTAATAAAGAGACGTAGTTAGTGGGCTATAGGTGACGCACTGGGAGGGTGTACACGAACTTTTGACACCCTACTGTACGCTGCTTTCGGAGCGTCAATTGGGGTCGGCTGAATATGTGTGCTGCTTACAGAGAGCTTGTTGGAGATGACAAACCCACCAATAATGTCCATTTATGTGATGAGGTGCATGCCATGCGGCTTGGCATCATTAGTATTCGGGATTGGTTGATTTCCCAGTTCTGCATTTCCAGCGCGGAAATTTATGAAGTTGCGTCCGTCCCCTTTTGCCGCATCTTGTAATCGATTCTTTAGTGCTTTTTATCCGTTCTGATAATCCAAGACGCCGCGAGGCCGAATCTTGATCAGCCCTTCTCTTGAACCTTTTGCTTTTGTTTTTGAAGTCTCAAGGCAAAGTCGTGCGACATATATCTTGAGTTTAGACACTCATTAAAAGCACTTATGGGGATATGCACACTCTGCGCCAATTCAATTCGCGGGCTGCGTCTCGGGGCAGACTCTCCAGAGCTCAGCAGCGGCACATACCCACCTTACAGTCCATCATCTGCCGAAACATGCTGGATTTGTTCTAAGTTGTCGCAATGGCTGCAGTCCGATCGACACAAGGCATTCTTTGAGCAATGGCAACGAGAACCTCTTGAGATTCGATTTTTTTTGATTGACTGCCAGTATACCCGAGATACGCACAATCGTGTAGACCCCAGGGTTCTCCAGATCAGTCTTTGCCCACCCGACACTGACCTTCTACACGGATGTTTCATTGAAGTTAACTTACTCGACCCTGAAGGTACATTTACTTCGCCCATACAATTGGTCTTTATTCATAGCTCAAAATGACTGATTCAAAATTTAGACTACTTGGAGCCCAGTGGTCTGGTTATGATGCCTTGCACAAGCAACGCCGACAATCTTGAGCTTCTTAAAAGATGGATGAGCAATTGCACACGGAATCACCAGCGGTGTAAAAATCAAAACCGCGAGAAATGGTTTCCAACTCGCTTACTGCATATCAGCAATGAAGGCCAGAGCGCAAGGCTCATCTTGACGAAGGACACTCCGCCGCTCCACCCTTACATTACTCTCAGCCATCGTTGGGGAAACTTTCCATACGACAAACTATCTTCTGACAATATCGAACGATTTCAATTATTTGTGGATATTCCCAGACTTCCCAGAGTCTTCCAAGACTCAATCGCGCTTTCCTGGCGTCTTGGAATACACTACCTCTGGATTGACTCTCTATGCATAAAGCAGGACCAGGACCTATCCGACTGGAAAACTGAAGCCTTGCTCATGCAAAAGGTTTATTCGAATTCCATGCTCAACCTATCTGCCTCTCACCTGGGGGAAGAGGGGGACAAGCCTTTACATCTCCCGCAGCCATGGGATGTTTTCCGCCCCACGAAAGTCATCATGGAAGTTGATGGACTAAGGAAGTCCTACTGGCTTATCGACGGCGAAATCTGGAACGACGAGGTCGAGGAGACTCCACTGATACAAAGGGCATGGGTTTTTCAAGAACGGTTCCTTGCTCCAAGAGTGTTGCATTTCGGGAAACGACAATTGGCATGGGAATGTAATGAGCTCACAGCGCTCGAGATGTTCCCCGCCGGGCTACCTTCTTTTGTTGTGCCTCAATCCAAATCGGAGATTTTATCAGCACTCATCGGAGACCAATCACCTGGCGAGCCCGCGAACCGACACTTTCGTGAGGCGTGGAGCTTCCTTGTTGGCCAGTACTCCCGGTGCGAGCTGACGAACGAAACGGATAAGCTCATCGCCTTTAGTGGCGTTGCAAAAATGGTGGAATTATATACGGGAAACGAATACATCGCCGGGACTTGGAAGAACACGTTGATCTACGATCTTGCATGGTACCGTACTGGTACCGACAGCGAAAAATGGCCATCAAGTAGCACGTCCTACCGTGCCCCCAGTTGGTCCTGGATGGCTGTCGAAGGGGAAATATTTCTTCCTTTTGGTTCGGAAGACGTGGTAGAGCATTTTGCTACGGTTCTAACGTATCCAACGTCTGAGGAA